TTAATATACGCGCGGTCAGAAAGTTAACAGTTGCCAAAACCCTGGCATTTCGGCAGGCATTCAAGCACTATAGAAAACTAACCCGCCGGCACTTGTAAGTGGTCACCGTAGCTAGTGATAATAACCGCCTGACTTATATTCTAGAAGTGGCTACGGGAACCTGGTACTTGATAAAAATGGTTACCGAAGTTGGACTCCTTTCTCTGCAGACGCAGATCGTCAAAAAGAGCCTACTTTCAGCTTACGGGCTTTAAAAGAGAAACACATTGCAGTATTCAGGAAGAGACGTTTCCTAATCTAGGTCCCTATTTCACTATGCCTATCATAGGCACAGACGTACGTTTCCTCCGAGGTCAAATAATAACTGTTGCCGGTGAGCCATCTGTCGAAAGATCGAACTACGTAGGCCAGAGTTTGTCACGTTGCAGTTTAGACAGTCACGGTCACGAAGACTGTGGTGGCATCGATTACGTGCAACCTACATATATGGAATTATATCCCTAATAAATGTGAACCAATCGTTTTGGCAGATTCCTCATCGACGGAAAGTTCGCTAGTACAACTAGCAGGGCGAAGGCAACAGAAACCCCTAACGAAACAATTGGGAAAAACGTTTTGGAAGAACGGAGGTGTTCTCAGAGTCTCTTTACACAGCACACTGAATGACATAGCCGTGAAGTCATGTTCTCCTAACATGGTGGAAGAAGAATGAGGCCAAAATAAAATGGTTATCCAAAGGGCCTTATCGAAAAGTACAGCGAAGAAAAGGACGAGAAAACGAAAAACTTAACTGGTAAAAAGAAGTGTTCATTTGTCTCCAACTGAAAGAAGAAGCAGTGTCATAAGAGAAAGAATGAAAAGAGCGACAAAAGATGCTTTCCTGAAGCTTAGCTCATAACGCCATAAAGCATTACCTGCTGATGTCAGCCTCGACTGCATTTATGAATCTATATGCCCTTGAGGGAACAAGTATATTGAAAGGACATAACTGGCTTCTGTCTGGTTTTTACAATATACCCCAAGAAACTAATATCTAAAGGGAGGTAAATATTCGGGAAATACAATCATCCAACATTCCGTGGATACAGATCACTTTGTCGAGATTCTTAAATCCATATCACTGACTTCAGCTCCCGGAGCACGTTTTCAGTTTCATGAACCGTAAATTTCTTGAACTGTCGTGCAAACCTGCATGCTAGCACTGTTTATGAGATCTTTCACCTTCCCGTCCTTTTCTACCATGGGAAAAAATACGTATTGATGGTAGCTTAAACCGGAAAGGGGTAATGATAAAATTTTGGATGCGTTGACTTTATAATGTTTGCTTTACCACTATTCATACACTGAAGTGTGTTACAGTCATTATTTATAGCCACTGTAATTTCAAATAGCTTCTAATTGCAATAGCATGTCGCATACGTGGGAGCACACTCCTTTATAGCTACCCTGAATGATCAAATTAAAAATAAACTCAGCAGCTGAGTAGTACAGGATATCGCTAAGTATGAATGCACATGGTTGGCTCCTAACTGTAACAGATTTTTGTCCGGCAAATACGAAGAAAAGTTCGGTGTTTTCATTATTCTGGTGCTATGATAACTGACAATGTAGTTGAAGATTGAACGATCAATTCATAGTTGTTTGCTCAAACCAAACTTCCCTATATTTTAGCGGAGGCATCAATACACCAGTCATCGTCTAATCGATTGCTGTTCAGAAAGCGTGTACAAAACCGTCAGAGGTAATATCGTGATTTATCATTGTAATATTTGTTCATAGACCTTAGTTATTACGATGTTTATATGTTGGTGTTAGAATAAAGAATTCTCGAGTCGCCAATCTGTGTTTTGGTTTTTGCGTCCGTTAGTACTAAGCGTTTCTGAATAGCTTCGAGGGACAGAGAGAGGCCGGGCGTAGCAAGAGCTGGGCACTAACGGTTTTGAGACGTGATTGACAATAACCTTTCTAAAACTTAAATCACTCATTCTTTGAACTTCGTCCCTCGAATAGTTGAGTCCAGGAAACGTCGATATATGAATTATACAATGAGGTTAGAAACGCGCCAGCTGGCAAGATAATAGTCTGTATCGTTGATCAGGCAAAATGGAAAAATGACTAGACAATTCTTTAGAAAACTTTCTGACGACAGGCTACATATGCAGTAGAAATGTGCAGGGCGTAATTCCCTACAGGAACTCTGTTGCTCAGCGGAACTTGATATCACAGCTGGATACCGTCTAAGATAGTAAGTGATGGTTCCAAATGACTTACATGGGCAAGGAATGTGTCCAACAAAGGGGTGAATAAAAGCATTCCATGTAAAAATACGAATTCAAGCCTGTAAGTAAATGGTAATGTACCAATAAGAACTGAGGTGTAGGACTTATACACAGCTGCATTACCCGTAACTCCCGGTAAAGTTCAAAAATAAGCTTCAAAAGACATTCTGCTTATGAGGAGTCACTATCTACTCGGCTGCACATTGTTTAATGAGAGCCAGCAAATGTAAGTGCCTATAGACAGTATCAAGTTCTATGGGCAGCTTTATAGTCACGCTTGCGTGTGATAGATAACTTGTATCTGAAACCTACAACGCCTTGGACTGCAGAGTCAGGAGTGACTTAATAATAACTTATAAATTGGTGGGAAATTCAAGGTGCCTGAGCAAATACGTGCTACCGTCAGAGAACTGTGGTAATCCGTGGGGTGAATAAAGAACAGTTGTCCATCACCTCAAAGTAGCAGATGAGGCTGACTTCCTTATGACTTGGGATTTGCTTATGGGATTCGCCACTGACGTGTCCAGTTCCCCGTCATTCAACAGCAATTAGTTGAGGTGTTGGATGACCTGTAAACACGAATATGGAGAGTACAAATACACAAAACCGAATTAACACCGCAAATGTTTCCTTGTTTTATTGTCCATCCGTTATTTCCACTTCACTTATTCTACCCCCATTCTCTGTCCTCTCAGTTTTGTAAATTGATTATTTTCAATCGAAATCGTCTCCACTCACTTCTACTCCCTTATTATATACTCACTTTAGCAGATTGTTTTTAGTCAGTCTAAAGGACTGTGTGTTTAAACAACGGGCGGTGGGTGCATTTGTGATAAGTTCCAATGACAAACTACACATCGCCCTCCAAAAAAAACGTTGGTTCATACAGCCGCTACATTCAGCAGATCTACAGAAGATGACTGAGTGAATCTATTTTACTGGAATCCAAAAAAGATTTAGAATTGCTCAAAACACTGAGGAAGGTTGAGAATTCAACTGAACTGCAAGAAGTTATCACAAATATTTGGACTTTGAAATACCTTATAACCAAATATCCTTATATTTATGGCTTCTTTCGAAATAACGGAAACCGATTAATATACAAACAGGAATTCTGGACAATCATTTTATCTATAGAGGGACTCTACAAAAACAAAAGAACTTTAAACATACAAAGTTTGCATTGGTAAAGGCTCACACATTGTCTAAACTTCTCCACCCGCTCTAATAACATGAAAAACGAAGGCGATGGTCTACGGTCAGAGTCCAAGCATAAACAGCTGCTTTTTACTAATTGACTCATTTTAGATTGCAACTATGTCCACGCTAAAGCAAAATAGTGGGACATGTGTGGGCGGCAAAATGGGATCGCCAGCACTGCGATCCCAGATATTCTTCCCTCATGGTCGACGAGAGGCACGAGGCATATTCTTCAAGAAAGTTGGAGGGTCTGGTTTTCCTGGCAACGTCCAAGAACCAGACTGACCGTTAGGCATACCTGGAACTAAATAACTAATTTAAAACAAGACACAGGAGTGACAAGAGTCCATTTAGGTCAAATATTGCCAAGGCATCCCTGTCTTCGGCCAAGTTCCAAAGAAGAAAACGGACGCAAGGTTGAATTGCACGTGCTATGTATGAGGGCTTATGTGGCACAGACAGGTGCACTCACTCCCGAGCTTTTTCCAAGGTTGTGTAAAGAACACGTGAGACCACACCTTGAAGTGCACAATATCACTGCTCTAACGTTACTTAGAAGCGACGCTAACCATCTGGAAAATAGTCCGAAGACTGGCTACAAGAGGGGTGATAGGTCTCTGAAATAAAACGTATGATGAACAGCTGAAGAAATCAGGTTTCTCCACACCTGGCTACTGTCTGCTTAGCCGTCACCTAACTACCGACTATAAGATCACAAATACCCAGAATTGCCAGAACAAAGGTATTTTATACTCAGTGCATGCAGACTTCTTTATGGTAATCTCCTAAAGAGACCTCATCAGAGAGGAAAGTTAGATGACTCCCCCTTATCTTTTCACTCCCAATTTTCCGCCGCTGGATATCTCTACCAGTAGATGTGGCTACCATATCATCGGTCTAAAGCTTTTTTTGGTGGCTGGACAATCATAGTGACACAACGACTGTGTCCAAACGATCTAACCCCATAAACTCACACACAATAGGCATCCCATAGACTCGTCTTTTTACTTCTCCACATTTTCCCTTGTCTCACTCTTCCGACCAATCCAACCACCAGTCATCTTATACTATTATTCTTAGTGTACACATGTATATCAATTTCGAATATCATTATATGTATGTTTTACTTTTTCTTTATTTTTCGATTTTAAGTCTACATAGTTAACTCCAAACATTATTATTATTGTTATCCCTCTTTTCGACCACAGTGGATGATAACAGGTAAAAGAATCAATTCCATTCACCTTACTGACGGGTTCGTAACACAAGACATACTACAAACCGCATATAATTTATTCCGGCAACACTGTTTTTAAGTTAACCAAAGTTGCTACAGTCGAGTAGCTGGAAGAATTATGCAGAAGTTTATTGAAGACCAGAGACTCCTGCCTTATAACATAGAAGCAAGCAAAAAGAGATTTATTTGGTTGACACAAGCTCGTAGGAATAGATCTAATATATCTCAAGTTTAAGTGTATCACAATTTATGTAATTCGACCTTGAAATATTTACCGGTTTTTCAGTGTATTTTCGTGATAACGTCCAAAAAGTCAGTCATGGGAAAATACTACCAATGAATTGAATTTAGCATTACTTCTTGACTGAAGGTTGCTAACAATACAAATGTGTCCATAAGAAGAATGAAGATTGATAGCAATTCACTGTCAACATCAGAATTTAATAAAATGGCTTGGAACGAAAATGGTTTCGAAAACAAGTTGAATGACAGTAAAGCTGGGAATAATTGCGCATTTTTACTTGATTGCCATTCAACTCAAAATGATAAAGTCAGCGCATATGAAGGTGATGGATGTAAACCGAAAATTAATTTTACTGCAGTGAATTGTATGACCCCATCAGCTGTTGCTTTAAGTAGTAAGTTGTTGTTAAGTCTGCATTGGAAATGTTTCATGTCCCAAAATTTGTGTCTGCAAGGATTTTTAGTAGGGATGTGTATAAAGTCTTGCGGAAACTGTTCCAGCGTGGTTAATTATATACGGTACTTCGTACCGAGAGACATAATGAAACTGATTCACCTCCTTTGCAACTGTTCATGACGCCGCATTTGTGGTCGAAATTCTTTCGCTCAGCTTATTAGAGCCTGTTCAGTGTCTCATGGCTTTCTGTGACAATAATTCAATTTTTCGTGATTTGACGATTTGCGGATTTCCCGAATCATCTCCAGACATTATGTATGGTATGCTTCACAGATTTAAAAACTGCTAGCTGTCTTAAGCGACGTTTGCAAGGACACACCAACATTATCCGATTCAGGCTTTGATTCAAATAGAGCTCGTGCCAGTTCTTTCCAAGAGGTATCTATGTTTGTTATTCCTTCTTGAAAAAATGGAGTTAAGTATAACAGCTGTCTCAGAAGTCCACCCCGGCTGTCAGTTTTTCGATAGTCATCCCCTAACTAGTTGAGCAATTATGGACTTAGCATAACAACGTGTCAGGCTGATAGTTTCTACTCTTTTTGCAATATGGAAAAAATTTAGTCACTGCAGATTTGCATGACAAACTTTTGAAAAAACCTGGAAAACCTTGTTGTTACATAAGCATTTGTGAGTCAAGGAGTGAACTTCAGGTTCAGGCGAATTTCGTTTTGTTCTAACGAAAAGTTCGATTTTGTTCTGTAAAATAGCTATAGTAGCATCCTCTTGTTTAGCCAAAATAGTCCTTAGCAGATAACAACTCCGTGTGAAATCACTTGAGATAATTAGCGGCTTTTGAATATTTTCAGCCCGTTATTCTCTTTGAATTACAATTATTTCAAAGCTGAACAGACTTACTTACTTGTCGCATTAAAAAAGTGGATGATTAGCCTTAGTTTTAACTCTGTTTAACATAAGCTTTCATATCTGATTGCAATTGTGACTATAATGGGAATCGAGAAAACCTTAATGATTTCTAAGTTACTGACCTGTTTTATGCATAGAATACTATCATAACTTGCTGATGGTTTAAGAATATCTATGCATACCTTTTGCATGGGCATTGCTACTGTGAATATTTTAGCGTTAAGTGTCCTTATGATTTCCACTACTTTGGCATTTCTCCAATGAATATAGTACCACATTTTGGCCTAGATTGTGCATGTTAATTTCTTTTGACAAGAATTTATCAAACAGTGGTAAAATGTGTCCTGAATGCGAAGCTTAAAAGGAGGTTGTGTTCTTTATGCAGAAGCTTTATTCAAAAAGAGAAATGATAGGCAGTAATTATGATGTACGCTTCACTCAGTGCACAGTAAACTACAGACGTGCCAGACAACTGTTGTTTAATTACCTAATTATTCACAACTTATATATAAATATCCCTCAGTTATTGTTCTAAGTGCTTTTATGTTTATATATGACGATACAGTTAAGATGTTATTAGGAAGAAAAGGTTGAACGGAAATATTTCCCATGGGTTCTCAGGCGGCCTTATTCAAAATAAATGTTGTGCAAACGCTAGATGGCAGGAAAAGTTCACAAAGATACCGAATATTTATCCGCCGAATACAAGCAATATGAGAAAAATTCTAAAACCAACTACGGGACAAAGATTTTTCGTGTTTTTAAAAGTTACAACCATCTCGAGGCTTAAAACTAGGGTCGGTAAAAAGCGGTACATCAGGCAGATACTGAACACTCATTTTTGCTATGTTAACCGATTAACTTCACAAGTTTTAACAAACTTGGAAAGCATAAATCTGTAAGACCTAATAAATTCCTCACACTTTTATTTCCGACTCCTGAAATCAGTTGAAATCGGCAAACATTATAATAGAAAATCAAGGTTTTCAGAATAAACAGTTAGTTCAAACTGAAAAGTAGAGAAAGTCTTATGACTATCTGGACATACTGTAGTAGTCGATTGGTCACGTGTGGCTATTCTTTCTTTTTAACGATTGTGAATAAATCTTTTTCCTGAGCAATATATCTCACAATTTTCTCCAGATATATTTTTCAAGTGAGTGTACAGTCAATTCATTCTCTTGTGAGTAGTATGAATCCGCATTCACACTCGTGAAAAGAGTTTCCACCTTTTGATGAATAATTTCAAGGTCTAGTGGTTTCGATTTTATGCAGTTGGTGGAGTATAACAAAATCTATCGAAGCATAACAGCAAATTTGCTAATAGCTACAAAAACTTAATTTAAATTTAAAATAAGCTTTTCATAAATAAATACGATGATAATAAGAAAGATTTCATTTTTGAATTTGTAACTAAACTTTTTTCTACTTAGTTTAGTACTTAAATGCATTAGGACTGAAAAGCAGTAGCGTCTCTGAGACTTTTCATTCATTTCACTGGTCAGTCTTTATCAGGATTTATTACGACTCCAAAAACATCCACATATATTAGGATTTACACCTCACTCATTTCAAATTTCTTTTAAAGAATGAGTGTCAAAGGAATTCTTGAAATATTTATTATTATTTTCCATAGTTCCTTTGGGTTCCGTGTATAACATAGGGCTTGAACAACACGTCTACATTTTCTTCTGTTTTATGCTGTCCTCTTTTACCTGGCCCACAACTGTCTATTATATCTCATCTCCTCCAGGTCACACAACCTCCCTTATGTCACCCTCGTACTGAAAACTCACTCATTGCCTCCCCTTGGGATTCCGTTCCAGTGATGGCCTACATTGCACGCGATGCCATTCGACTATCTCCTCAGCGTATGCCTAGTTCACTTCCATTTTCTCCTACATATTTGTTGAGCGATCGATTCTTGGTTACTTTATTCCTATGGTTTCTCGTAACTAAAATGGCCAGAAAGAGTTAGCGACAGAAAATTCTGGGAATGAACTAACCAAGAATCGATCGCTCAACAAATATGTAGGAGAAAATGGAGGTGAAATAGGCATACGCTGAGGAGATAGTCGAATGGCATCGCGTGCAATGTAGGCCATCACTGGAACGGAATTCCAATGAGAAGCGATGAGTGGGTCTTCGGTACTAGGGTGACATAAAGGAGGTTGTGTGACGAGAAGGAGATGAAATATAATGGACAATTGTGGGCCAGGTAAAGGAGAACAGCATAAAATAGAAGAGAGTGTAGATGTGTTGTTGGAGCCCCATGTTGGACTTATTATTATTTATCACAAGAAGACTGCTAAGCGTTGTTTAATGTGTTCAGCATAGTTGAAAGTACATTTCTGCAAACGTAAAAATCTGAATTCATATTAAAATTTAATTCATATACTCATTTCATATCTTTACAGAGTTCTTAACAGATTACTTCGCATTGTTAAAATATACACGGTTAGTGTTTTGAACATTCCCCGTGTTAGATAGATGCAAGAATTCAGTCTTCCACTCAGCATATCTATCTTATAAATTATGAGGCCGATTAATAATCTACTTGAAGTCTAGCTTAAACATTAGCATAACTATTTATATACATATATAGTTTTCAATTTTATGTTTTATAGCACAATAGACATTGGGTTATGCGTGATTAGGGGAAATTTAAAAGCATTTAAAGAATCATCCAAGCGCACATTAAGTGATATTATGTAAAATGTTAATCATGTGTTTCCACTCAACACTTTATAAGTTCTCGTAATTTCATTAAAGCAGAAGTATACTGAAAGACACTTTTTTAGTTTGTTAATGTGAATTACGAATAAGAGAGATGCTATATTTATTCAAAATCGATTTCTTTTTATTACTTCATAATGATAATCATGTATGACATTTAGGTTGATCAAATATTTTTGGTCTTCTTACTCTTCTTTGAGTGAGTTAGTATACATAACCAGAAAACAAGATATATATATATATATATATATATATATCAGTGTGTACGGTACAAATTTAGATCATATGCTCGTCGCATGACTATTTATCGCCTTTAAATGTTGAATTCTTATTCATCTTAAAACTTTAATTCGGTAAAACTATAGATTATAAGATTAGTATTGATTAGATTAATCTCTAAATTACGATAATAATGAAGTCATAAGAGGCCTCATGACAACGGTAAGCTTCCATATACTTCGCACTGTCGAAGCCTTAGCGGTCCAGTTAGAAAATTGTGACTTACGCACACAGAAGAAACTTATCTATATTTTTCTTCTACCTTAGGTATAATTCCGAGTTCGATTACTTTGTTACTAATACCATTTGTGAATTGTTTTTGACATTCTAGTTACATCTTTTTCTTAACTAACCTTTTATTTCAAGTGTTGGTCTGTAGGGATTTGATTGGTTTACAGGATTTCATCATGAGCTGACATTAGTTAGAAAACCATTGGAAAACCTAGGACTACTGGACAGTTGTTTCGTCAGCCTAGTTTGGGATTCTTCAGTAGTACGCACCCACCGGGATTCGAACCAAGGACCTTCTGGTTACAAGGCGAGCTCGTATACCATTAAGTCACTGGGACCCGATCCAATGGCCAGCCCATGAGTTCTAACTTCTGCCAGTTCACGAAATGATGAAATCCTATGAACCAATCAAATTCCTACAAACCAACACTTGAATATCATTGAGATGCTCTCTGGCGACTTGCCCTATTCAGGTAGGTAGTTACCTGGGGTTCTAGTGAGAAGTCATGACTAGTAGGGTGCAGCTGGTCGGATGTGAGGACAAATAATCGCCGAAGACATTGGCTAGGGGTCGCGCTATGTCATGAACTGGCAGAAGTTAGAATTCATGGGCTGGTCATTGGATCGGGTCCCAGTGGCTCAATGGTATACGCGCTCGCCTTGTAACCAGAATGTCCTGGGTTCAAATCCCGGTGGGTGCGTACTGCCGAAGAGACCCAAAATAGGACGAAACAGCTGTACAGTTCCAATGGTTCTCTAACCAATGTCAGCTCATGATGAAATCCTGTAACCCTTTGTTTACTCTTTCTACCTATTACATAAGTTATTTTGGACACTTGTCTCCACACCGTTTCATTAGCATCCTATTATTCTGAGTGACTTTCATATTACGCAACCTTGGTTGGGACTTACTAGTTTTCACACACTCCTAGTTATAATTTGATTTATTCATCACATTTATCGGAACATTTGAATGATGTAAGCAATAAACCTGACTAGTTTTCTATGTTCCTGTCTGACAACCATTTTGTACACACAAACAAACAAAATAACTATATATATAACTGCGACTGTATAGCCAGGTGAATGAATTCTCCGCCGAAAAGTGACTGACTCTTCACTGAACTGTTTGTTTTGTATATTCATGTCTAGATGGGTATTTTTTTTCGTGAATTAATTAATAATTTCTGTCAACAACCGATGTCAACTACCATATCATTCAAGATTAAATACCTGTAGACATCCTTCTAGCTTTAGTTCAATAATGTAAAGCAGTAAGAATGATTTGTACTGAGGAAACAAACAGTACATACATACGCTACATACGCCAGTCAAGAGGTCAGATTCCAGTGACATATATAACCTCAAAATCCTGGTAATTAACAATAAAGGAAAACCTTTAGTATGTAACAGTATTTAAAACAAACTCCTTTGGTTATTGACTTTCTCTTCGGTTTTGTTCGTTTGAAGGCTGCATACCTGTAACTAAAGATTATTGAATCGTTGAACATTGAGCACTGTGTTTTATACTACTGAAATTTTCTATGAAATTTAATTAGATTTTCATATGACTAAATTAAAATAACAAACAAGACTATAATAATTATAATTATTAGTGTCATTAAATACTTAGTTGTATGTTAACCGCCTTTCTTACTGTTTATTCATAACCGGATTGTGCTTCTGGAACAGTGAAACAGGTGAAATCAGTAGATCAGAATTCATTAATTATCTATTGTATTGTAAAATTTGTTAATCAAAGGTTATAAGTGCATAAATGCAGCAGTAGGAAGTAGAATAAGTTAGGATTAGAATTGAATCTGATGTGACTCGAGTTTTGAAAAAAAATATATGATTACTCTTGTCATAACAATGTTTAGAAAATGGTGGTAAAAACGATCGACCCAGGTATTATTAGTCTTACTGGGGCGGGGGGGGGCGTTTACCATCCAACTGAGAGGTCGAAATCCATCTCAATGACTTATCTCAAAACATAACGCTCTAATGGCTAATTAGTTAGAGGTATACACACACTTCTGAAGTACCTCAAATTAGAACAAGAGTCTATTTTGTGAACATTAGCCGCATTTGTTTTTGTAGACGATGTTGCTTGTAACTAATATGATTGGGAAATCAGTCAGATCTAACTGACTGATTACACTGCTTTCCACGAGTTGCTTGATATCACTTGTACTAGTTGTTTTGGTAACTACAAGATATCCGAAATACTTAGCCTTTATGGTCTCTCCAGGATTGTCAATCACTAAACTCTTCATTAATACACCACGATTTATGTCTCTTTGGCAGACAAATCTTATTAAAAAGACATTACCTACTATATGGCTTATTACTTATGCTTATTATTATTCCCTTGGGTTTGGAGTGAAACATAGGGCCACAGCAGCACTCCTTTATTTCACCTTGTTCTCTGGAGTCCTCTTTAGCCGGCTCAACGACCGTCTATAGGCTCTATTCTCCTCTTCCCACGATCTCATTCATGTTACCTTTGGACGTCCAACTAGCAGTTCCCCATTCCAGTTCCACTCTAGACCCTGGTGTGCAACGTCACCCAGTGGTCTTTTCAGTTTGTATTCAGTCCATCTGCATTTCCTTCTGCAGATTTGTTCGGCGATTGGTTGTTGGTTGGTTCGCTGATTATCAGAGTACTTTGTTGCCTTATCCTTTGTGGTAAGCCATCTGGTCTTCAGTATGGAACGGAAGAAGCTGTTGGTGATAGTCTGTCTTTGTCTGTTTGAAATGATTCACGTGACGTGAACACCAAGCATCTGAGCCGTACAGAAACACTGAGTTATTTTCAACTAGCAGTCACCATGCTTCAGACAAACATAACTGGCTACGGTATCACCACTTAGTCCTAGCTCAACAATAATATATAATAATAAGATCAATGGCTGGCCCACAAACAATTATTTAAACACTCAAGTGTTGGTGTGCAGGAATTCGATTTGATTGGTTACAAGATTTCATCATGAACTGCTCTCAGTTACAGAAGCCTTGAAAACCAGGGATTATTGAACAGTTGTTTTGTCATAGCTTGGGACTCTTCGTTAGTACAAACCCACCACTAGGTTTCGAACCCAGGACCCTCTGGTTACAAGGCGATCTCGTAGACCATTTAGCCACTAGGACTTGTTCCAGTGGTCCATGAATTCTAACTTCTTCCAGTTCACGACATGGCGTGACCACTAGCCAACGTCATAGACGAAAGGTGCTGGGTTCGAGCCCCAGTGGGTGGGTTCCGATGAAAAGTCTCAAACAGCTGTTCAGTACTCCCAGGTTTTCTGATGTCAGTTCATGATGAAATCCTGAAATTATTTAAACAATTATAAATTTACAATGAAGACATTTTAACAATAAGTAACTTCTTCACACTGTCTACTATAGCAACTAAAACCTTATCAGTAGCTCACTGAACTTTCATAAACCTACATAACTTAGCTAACAGAGAAGAATATTTAATAGTCCTACCGTTCGACATTTAAAAGTTTACTGGACAGTAATTTGACAAATTTAAACAATTACCCAGTTATTATCGACACCATCAACAAATCTAATTTATACTATTATGTTTTCTTTTTTCATGACTTGAATAGAAAAAGCAATCAAATCAACATTTATACTAAAAGATACACGAAGTCATCATTTAGGCAGAAAGTCAGTCGTTAAACAAAATGGTACTGTGGAAATTTCTCGGAATACAAGTCCAAAGAAAAAACAATCAACTCAAGAAGTTGAATTAATAGGTGATTCTGTTAACACAATGAATAATAAATGTAATGATAAAAATAAGGATATTTCATTAAAATTGAATACTTTTCATGTGTTAGATGATAATCAGGTTAAAAATCTAATCCATGTGAACGGTGTTGAAGTGGTGGATAAACTTTCTATTGAAAATGTAAATAATACACCAAAACAAGTACCAGTCCAGTTGAATAAAACTTCCGTTAAACAAATCAACCCCAAGAAGGATTCAACATCATATCGTTCAGATAATAATACATCTATCAATATCGATAGAAAAATAAAAATTGATGATAATAAACATATCAAAAAAGATGCTACTTTAAGACCAAATTCTTTAGTACTTCCAAATCCATCAAAAGCAGTAGATTTCCTACTTCCCAATAAATGTATTCAACCGAGTGAATCTAAAGCTGAGTCTGTTGATCATGGTATGAAACTGAAAAATAAAAAAGTAAGTCTTCACTTAACTACACTGGTATTCATTATCTTACTATACGTTTTTTCTTATGTTTTTGTGTGGGTTGAAAAGTGAATTAACCTAATCATGAGCAATAGATATAAGGCTATGATGTAAAATTTACAGTCTCTGGTTAAGACAGATAACATTCCCAATGTGATCACCAGATACGAAAATTATTCAAGTAAAGACTAACAGTAAGGAGTTTTGAAACATTCTAAGGACTATATGAGCATAGTTTGTGATTAAAAGCGTAGAGAGAGAGAGAGTGATGTTTAGTAACCAAAGTAACAAAAGCTATTGTTATACTGAACAAGCTATCAAGTCCTTATTTTGCAGTGATATTTATAACACCTGAACAGCTTCAAACAGTCCTTGTTTTTCACTGCGTTTTTTTGGAGTATTATTATTAAATTACTATTATTGTTATTATTCCCTTGGGTTCCAAGTAGAACAACAACACATCTCCACCCTGTTCTTCTTTCTGCTGTCCTCTTCAGCTGGGTCGACGAGTGACCACAATCTCTCATCTCCTCCTCATCACACGTTATCCTCCATGTCACCCTCATACTGACGACACACTTGTTGCTTCGCATTGGGATTCCACTCAGGCGATGGCCTGCACTGAACACGACTATCTCCTCAGGGAATGTCAAGTTCATCTCCGTTTTCTCCCACATATTTGCTGAGCGATCGACTCTTGGCTGGTTTGATCCCACAGTTTCTCGTTACTAATTGTTTCTGGCCGGCCATTTCATCTTCAGTATGGAACCAGCAAAGTTAGCGGCTGTTGGTAGAAGTCTGCAGTGGCCTGTTGGAAATTCTTTTTTAGTGACGTGCTGTGCAAGTTTCTGACCCGTATAGAAGGACCAACATCACGCTGATGTTGAAAATATGAATCTTGTTCCTTATGCTGAGTGCAGTGCAGAAGATTTCCAACCTCGTTTCAAGTTGATGAATGCGTATTTTGCCTTTCTGTTTCTGACTTGTTTTGACATCTTCATCCGTACCATCCGCCTGTAGTTGAAACGTTGCTTCCCAGATAAGTGAAAGAGATAACCTCAGTTAAATCTCTCCCGTTGATGGTGACTGATGCCGGTTATTGCTGTTGGTTGGTTATCTTCATCACCTCCGTATTCTCTATGTTCACCTGGAGTCCTGTCTTTGCTGCCTGCTTCTCCAGCCAGTTTGTTGGTTTCCGCCTGTAGGTCTTCGACTTTGTGTGACAACAGTCATAAGTCATCTGCAAAATCCACATTTTCTACAGTCTTCTCATCGGTGGTCCAGCGTAAAACTGACTCCTCGCTCCCCATTTTTTCCTTGACGTTCCCCAGTGGAACATGGGGCTTCAAGCTAGTGGCTTGAAGTTTCTGTAGCAGTGTTTATTTTTTATAGGATGGAGTTACTAGCCTCATGCCCAACCTTTCCTCTTCATCAGCATTATTTCTGGCTTGGCGAGGTAAAGAGGTGCGTCGGCCGGGGATCGAACCCTGGACCATGTGCATGGTCGGTGAGTGTCCTAACCGCTATGCCACCGATGCAAAGCCGTTAGCAGAGCGTGGTTGCTCTCCATAGTGTGACGCATAATCCAGTATTTCAGTATTTTACTTGGCGTGGACAAGAGCATTATTTCACGCTAGTTCTTGCAGGGCAACTTGACTAAGTAGTTTTTCTTCCAATCGGTGGGTACCTTTCATTCTTTCCAAACCTTTCCCACGTGTTATGAATTAAGAACACATAAGTCATCGAATCAATCTCTTTTTATAACTTCTTAACAAAGTTGTACTATTATTTAAGGGTTTATGTGTACAATGTTAGTTGAGTACTAAGGTCAGAGGTAACAAGAACTAATAGTGAATATTATTACATAATGGAGAACGTTGACAACTAGTTATTTAAGTGATGTATAGTCATTCGAAAATATCTGATAGGAAACAAAAGAACCAGGACTTACATGTTGCTAAATGTTTTGGCTCAACCTTACTTATCTGAAAACACACATACACACACACATCAACTGAAATGTATTTATCAACTATTAGGAAATGAATTTTGAATCTTAGTTACTAGTTGTTTATGAGAAGCCACAAAATAATAAAAAAGAGGCTTCATTCTTAATAAAAGTCTTCCATTGCTTTTGCTTTCTTCTACAGTTGTTTTTAAGAACGAGTTGAATAAAATTGCCAATAATTTTTAAATCGAAGGATGTTTAGTGATTCGAATCCTAGACGATGTGCTACTAAGTCCTGCCTAGTTTACAAGGTGGTACGTAACCAAGAAAGAAAAGAAGGTCGGATATGCGACTAATAACCTCAACCCGTAGAAACGACACAACCACCAAGGAAGCAAAAAAGTCTTTTAAAAAGTTGAGGAGGTATGCTTGGAATTGTTAGCGAAATTTTAGTGTAGATAGTCAAGTTTTAAGTGTGTACACGTATTACTTAAATTGAGTGTTTCATGCATTTGCAGTTTTCAAATGCGATGTTTATTAGTAGCAGGAGTCAAAAGAGGTCGATTCCTTTTTGGTTAAAACTGTCTCTCATACTCTAATGTTATGAACATACAGATTTTAACTAGTACCGACCTATTGAAAATTTTAAACGCTGAGTCTGAAAGAAATATCAGTCTGTACTCTGAAATGACGTTAGATCGTTACAGCAAATTCCTAGGGGACGGTGAATGTTGCTTTCGTACTAGTTGAAACTTGTCAATAAAGGTGCACCAGAAACTTTGAAAGAACTAATATCGGCTCTGAAATTGCTACCTGTTTGATCCAGTGCTGCAGTCAGTAATATTATCACTCTTGCACACGATTGGCTTCCTGTAGAATCGTAGTGATTACATTCATTAGCCACCGGAGTGCAAATAATGTCATGCGTCCAGTACTACTGTCAGACAGTGCAATGCAGCGATTCTATTTGAATTTCTGTACATCGATATCGCGACTATAGAAAAGTACAAAGAAATACATCAATAAAAACAAGATTTTGAGTGAACAATTGTTTTCGATAACTTCTTCTTCAGGCTTCTTCTACAGTTATAAATCCATGAATAATAGAGGACATATAACCAATAAAGGCAAATGAAAATAATATCAGAAACTGTATTGGGGTGCATGTGTAAGTTGAGATGATAAGTCCATCAGTTAATATAGTCAATCAAAATGTGTATAGGGTGTATAGTCAGAAAAATGTGATGATGTGTGAATGAAAAACAGGGTGATACAGTGTTGTTTTATAGTCTACAGAATACAAGTGTCATTGGGATGAGAGAAATGTGATAACCAAAAAATATATACAAACACACATTAACAAAGGGGACACTGAATGTAAGCGGCTGACTGATAATGTCTAATGATAAAATAAAGAGGCTAAATTGTAAATTGAAATAAGATGTTACTGAATTGGTAGGCTTAGTATAAAATCATAAAGGTTGACAAAAATAAAGGATAACAATGAGGTGAACACCCTACTGGAAGACCGTTCCAATTTTCAAAAGTTAGGCAACAGTAAAGATTCGAATGAAGCAACAGAACGCCAGTTCATTAAAACTTTGAAATCTTTAAAAAATGACAATCTAATTGATAGTTTCATCTTTGACGTTATTAAGCCTACCGGAACTCATACGCCTAGACTTTATGGCTTACCCAAGATACATAAGCAGGGAATAACCCTACGACCAATTCTGGACATATCGAACTCGCCCTTCCATTTAACTGCCAAATGGTTAGTAAATCTGTTAGAACCGCTACATCACCAGTTGGTTAAATACAGTGTAAAAGATGTCTTTAACTTTGTTGAAAACATTGAAGATATGAACCTAGCAGACAAAACTATGTTATCGCTGGATGCAACATCACTATTTACCAACGTCCCTCTTGTAGAAACTGTCGACTACATATGCGAGCAACTCGTAGAAAAGAAAATAGAAATTGGGATCACACCAAGAAAATTGAAAGAATTACTACTAGAATACACTATGAACGTTGAATTTGTATTTAATAAGAAGTATTACCGCCAAATAGATGGGGTTGCTATGGGTTCTCCCCTTGGTTCCTTATTAGCTGACATATTTCTATCTAAATTGGAAAATGGTCCTTTAAAAAAGGTGCTAAACCAACTCTATTATTATTGTCGATATCATTTGTAACAATAATTTGGATAGACAACACCTCCTCCAAGTCTCCAATAAGGTACACCTAGCAATTAAATTCGGTTGTAAAGGGCAGCTTCAAGGTAGTATTCCATTTCTGGATGTCCTTCTTAGAAAAAGAACAGACGGCACCTTAAAGAGAAACATCTATAGGAAAGTGACGTGGAACAGACAGTACACCCACTTCAATAGCTTCATACTTATACAATATAAGCGCAACCTAATTCGTTGTCTTAGTCACAGAATTATACGCATATGTACCGACGATTGTATTGAAATAAGAAATCTTACAAACGCCTTGCTATAAAGTGACTATCCTACCAACTTTGTAAAGAAGTATATCTATGAAACTACACATAAAACTAACCGAGACACAGTAAGTAAGAAAAAGGTTTACTTAAATGTACAATTCAAAGGCGATATATTAAACCGTAGATTAACGAGATCAATTGAAAGAACTTTTAATGCCGCAAAACTGCATGTCAGTTTCTCAACCAAACCGATATTGACACTGTGCATTAAAGATAGATTACCCAAAATGGCGACATCAATGTGTGCATGTAAATTCAACTGCTCCTGTGGAGCTAGCTATATAAGTCGTACCCAAAGGAATTTATCCATACGTGCTCGTGAACATATTCGTGTTTGGCTTTGGAAAAGAGCAACCAAATCATTAAATAGTGCAATTCTGTCTCATCTAGTGGATAGCGAACACAGCATCAAAGTAGATGAGTCATTTACAGTTGTGCATCGGGTACCGAACAATCTCCCCAAAGGCACACGATTACGCCTCCTAGCCATAGCTGAAGCTTTAGAGATTAATAGATAGGGATCAGACCTAT